GAACACTGGAGAAACGGACTGAAATACATTGTACCCATGTGCAAATATCTCTATGAAACTCTCCCTTGTGTAACTAGTGAATGCTAATTAAAAAAAAATAAAGCCTTGGCCTGGCTCTGGTGGCTCATATCTGTCATCTTAATGACTCAGGAGGCTGAGATCTGAGGCTCACCGTTCCAAGCCACCCTGACAGGAAAATCTGTGAACCACCAGAAAATCAAGAAGTAGAGCTGTGGCTTGGAGTGGTAAAACACTACCCTTGAGCATAAAGAGATCAGGGACAGCACCCGGGCCCTAAGTTCAAGCCCCACAACCAATATAAATAAACAAACAAAATTTTAAAAAATTGTTTTTGAGAGTCAGATGCTGGTTATGCACACCTGTACTCCTAACTACTCAGGAGTCTGAAGAGATCTCAGCCTCCTCAGGCTGGTACAAAACCAGCCTAAGTGGGAAAGCTCATGAGCCTCTTATCTCCAAGTAACCAGCAAAAAAAAAACAAAAAACCCAAAACTGTAAATGGAGTTGTGGCTTAACTGGTGCTAACATTATGTGAAAAAGCTCAGGGACAGCACCCAGACCCTGAATTTGGCTCAGCACTGGCAAAAATAAATCTTTGAGCTTTGTAACTAATTTTTGGTAACATTAATTCTTCTTCCAATAGTTTTATTTATTTATTTATTTATGCCAGTCTTGGGGCTTGAACTCAGGGTCTGAGCACTGTCCCTGAGTTTCTTTTGCTCAAGGCTAACACTCTACGACTTGAACCACAGCAATACTTCTAACTTTTTCTGTGTATGTGGTACTGAGGAATCAAACCCAGGGCTTTATGCATGCTAGGCAAGCAATCTACCACTAAGCCACCTTCCCAGCCCCCAAATGCTTTTTGTATAAGAGCTAATTCACTTTTCCCTTCCCTTCCCTCCCCTCCCTTTCCTTCTTTTTCTGTCCATCTGTCTTTTCCTTCAGTTGAGTTTAACTATGTAGCCCAAATTGGCCTCCAACTTACAATCCTCCTGCCTCAGCCTTGTGAATGCTGGGATTCCACGCCCATACCACCACCACCACCACGCCTGGCCCTAGATTCCAGGCCTTTCCAGGTGCTTTTACGCAGCAGTGGCAGTTTCCTTTAAGAACAGTTTAAAATGGATGACATTCATTAACTGACAGTAGACGGGAGGGGGGGGCACTGAAGTTGAAGTGAGCTTTGAAGTAAACTTGAACTTTGGACCTGACAGGCTTCAGTCAGCCAGGAGACAGGAAAACAGCAATGGGAAGTGAGAATCCCAGCAATTTGTAGTGGAGGAGGAGATATGTTTTCTGTTATTTAATGCATATATGAAAAAGCCCTAACTCAGAGACTACTCAAAACAGTCACAACAAAATAGAACTGCTAGCCGGGTGCTGGTGGCTCACGCCTGTAATTCCAGCTACTGAGGAGGCTGAGATCTGAGGATTATGGTTCAAAGCCAGCCCAAGCAGAAAACTCTGTGAGACTCTTATCTCCAATTAACCACTAGAAAACAGGTAGTGGTGCTATGGCTCAAGCAGTAGAGTGCTTGCCTTGAGCTGAAGAGCTGAGGGACAGCGCCCGGGCCCAGAGTTCAAGCCCCACGACCGACCAAAAAAAAAGAATTGGTAGGGCTGGGAATATGGCTTAGTGGTAGGTAGTGAGCTTGCCTAGCAGGCATGAAGCCCTGGGTTCCATTCCTCAATATAACAAACAAAGAAAAGGCAGGCAGTGGCACTGTGGCTTAAGTGGTAGAGTGCTAGCTTTGAGCAAAAGAAGCTCAGGGACAGCACATAGGCCCTAAATTGAAGCCCCAGGACTGGCAAAAAAACAAAACAAAACAAAAACTGCTGTCCCTGAGATGCATCTGGGCAGACAGCAAAGGTGACAGATAGCCTCACATCTGAGATGTAGGCACAGCAAAGTGCTCCAAGTGCCCTAATCCTGCAGAAAAGATGGTCTCATACTGGGTAAGGTAGCTAATGCCTATATTCTGAACTTCTCAGTATACTGAGATGTGAGAATTGAGGTTCAAAGCCAGCCTGGGCAAGAAATCTCTATGAAACTCTTAGCTGGAGTGAACCACTAAAAAAAACCAGAAGTGAAGCTGTCGCTCAAGTAGTAGAACCCTAGCCTTGAGGGGAAAAAAAAAGTAAAAGATGGCATCCAGGCCCAGAGTTCAAGCCCCAGCCCCAGCACAAAAAGAAAAGAAAAAAGGGCCCGAGATTATTTTGGGTCTCCAGAACAATATTCAGGCAGTGACATGAATGCATATTTGGCCAAGCAATTCAACAGATGCTAAGCTAACAGATGCCTGGAAAGTGGTTTGGGTGGTCTGAGGGTGGAGGAAATGACCTCAGACCCACTGGACAGATAGACCAACATTAGAGTAAAAAATCTCACGTGCCTCTGCTATGGAAAGAGGAAATCATGGGATTTTTCTCACCAAACTTTTTTTTTTGGGGGGGGGGCAGGAACTACTTGTGGTCCGTGTGTGTGTGTGTGTGTGTGTGTGTGTGTGTGCTGGTCCTAGAACTTGAGCTCAGGGCCTGGGTCTCTGAGCTCATTTGCTCAAGGCTAACACCACTTTAGCCACAGCTCCACATCCAACTTTTTAGTGGTTAATTGGAGATAAGAACTCAAGGACTTTTCCTGCCCAGGTTTTCTTTGAACATCCATCTTCAGATCTCCACCTGAGTAGCTAGGATTACAGGCATGAGTCACCAGTGCCTGATGACTCTTCTGTGTATATATGTGTCTACACTGAGGCTTGTCTATACTGTGTCTACAGTCAGGTCTGGGGCTGCTGGTGCTCTGCCACTTGAGTCATGTCTCCAGTCCAGTATTTTTGCTGGTTAATTGGAGATAGAGTCAAGAAGACCATTCTGCCCAGGCTGGCTTCAAACTACTGTGATCCTCAGATTTCAGCCTCCAGAATACCTGGGATTATAGGTGTGAAGCACCAGGGTGTGTCTGACTGCTTCCACCAAGTGGGAAAGAAAATTCAAGCAATCCTGAGCTTGAAGAGAGTCAAGGACAGAACCCTAGGGGAGAGAGTAAGATTTCTTTTTCTGTTTTCCTTTTTTTTTTGGCAATAGTGGGGTTTGAATTTGGGGCTTTGCTCTTGCCAAACAGTGACACTGAGTAAGAGAAGGGGAGACAGGGCCTCGATGGGGAAGGAGGAGGGGACTCCCAGCCCTGGCCGGTCCGCCTGGCTCCAGCCAGCCGGCTGTTTCCTGCCCTCCGTGACCCACCACCCCAGCGCAAGCTCGAGGCGGGGCCACGAGGAAGGACAGGGGTGTGGAGAGCACCTCTGGTGGCAGGAAGATAAGTGCGTGGGGACAAGAGGTCACGCAGGGGGTCACTCGAGCGGGATTAGGGTATTGGCACCATCCCCTTCCCCTGTCCCTCTGCCCTGACAGCTCTGCTCCTCCAGACAGGAGCCTCCTTAATTAACCTTCTGAGTCCCAGCCTTTCCTTCCAGTCTGCAGGGGGACCCCACTGGGGCACCCCCTGTCACCCACCCTGCCACCACTACGTAGGTCCTAGTAGAAGGGGGTGGAGGGGCGGGAGGGTGAGTTTCCAGAACCCTCTCCGCACACTGATGGATGGGGATGGGGCGGGTGGCCACCGGAGGAAGGCCCCTCCCAGCCATCTCGAGGGCCCCCAGGAGCCAGACAGGAAACAGCCTCAGGAAAGACAGCGTCCCAGCCCCGGCCCCCGCCCCCCGGGTCACGGTTACAGGCGACGACACGGGGGGGGGTCAAGAAAGCGAGAGTGCAGATATTTGTGCTTCGCTCCGCCCCCCCCACCCCTCCGGGGCACGCCCACCGTGGATTTACCCGTGCTCCCAGGGTTTTCCTCTCAAATCAGCGCCCCACCCTCGGGGCTCATTTGTCCACGGCAGGTCGAGCGCCCCGGAGGCCCCCCAACACTCGCCCCCCAACACTCACAAGCGTGGGACGCCGTGCGTGCGTGCGCCGCGGGGATCCTGCCCGCGCAGCCCTCCAAACCCCGGGGCGTCCTCCACCCCCCCCGTTCTCCCGCTCCCCCTCCCCGCTCCCAAGTGCAACCCCAAGAAGCAGTTCGGGGAGGGGGGTGGGCAGCTCCCGGGATCCGGGCCTCCAGTCCGCGCGGCCAGGTCGGAGCGGGCTTTGTGCGTGCAGGGCGCATTTACACGCGCAGCGGGACGGCCCTTGGTGGTCGGATGTTTCTGTCTGCTTCCGGGGTGCCTGCTGGACTCGAGGCTGTCCCGAGGGGTTCCCCAGGCCACTAGCCTGACACGCGCGTTCCGGGGCCGGACGCGCGGCGTCCGCGCAGGTCGGGGCGGGCCCCGGGGCTCCGCGTCCCTCCCCCTGCGCCAAACTTTCTCCAACTTCGCAGCGCGCTCCCACCGCGGCGCGGCCCCGCCCCCTCGTGAATTATTCATCAGGGAGCGGGCCAATCAGCGTGCTCGCCTCACGCTCTCTCTTCTCTCTTAGTGTCCCCCCTCCCACCCCTGCCAGGACAGGGCTGGGCGAGGGGGGGGGGCTTGCCCCAACTCCGCCCCCGCGCCCCTCCCTCCCCGGCCCGCCCGCCCCTCCCTCTCCGGCCCCGCGCCGCCCCCTCCCTCCCTCCGGGTCCGGGCCGGCGCGGCTCCCACCGTCCTCGCCCGCGCGGAGAGCTCCCGGCCCGGCGGCGCGAGCTGAGCCGCTGTAGAGAGAGTAGGGGGAAGATCGCGAGCGGACGGCCCACCCCGGCCAGCCTGGGCGGGACCCCCAAACTCCAGCCGCAACTCTCTCTCTCTCTCTCTTTCCCTCTCCCCCCCCACACCCCTCGCGCGCCCGCCCAGCGCCTCTCGCCACCGCCGGGGACGCCCCGCACACGGCCTCCCGCGCGCGCGGCGGGGACGCGGGGCCACACCTGGGCGCCGCCGCCCGGTGCCCGGAGCCTCCGCATGGGCCGCCGCTGACCGAGGGCCCCGACGGAGAGGCCCCGGTGCGTCGTCGGCGCCCACCCGCCCAGGGGAGGGTCAGACCTGGGGGGGCTAGGGCCCCCCAAACTCGGATCGGATCCAGCGCGATCGAGGAGGCGCCATGGAGCTGCGGGCGCTGCTCTGCTGGGCTTCGCTGGCTGCCGCTTTAGAAGGTGAGTTTCCCCGGCGGCACCCCGCCGTTCCTGGAACTCCCTCTCCCCCCCCCCTAACAAAAGTTGAGCCTGGGAGCGGAGGATCCGACCTGTTCTTTATCTGTCTCCCCGCACCCCGACCCCCCAACACCGCGCACCGACTGTGCGAGGCGGAGGGGGCGGGGAGAGGCGGCCGCCGGGGAGTGGAGTTTTCTTTTGTTTGGGAAAAGAGCTGGAGTCGGGCCCCGACCCGGGACTTTCCTGTACCCCTGCACCCCACATTCTCAACCCCTCGTGCCGGACGCCCGTGGCAGCCTTTCCTTCCTTCCCCACCTCGGGGGTCCAAGATGACCCCCAAAGTTTCCGTCCGACTTCTCACTTCGGGCTAAACGGGAGGAGGGAAGGACGCTTCCAGACCTGCAGCTGCAGCCCGGGCACAACTTCGTGCTAGGCCCGATCACCGACCCCCCCCCCCCCGTGAATTCCCCAGCATCCCCACCTGGGTTTGCACCCCTCGGAATGCCCCTCCCCTCCTGCAGCCCCACTCCACACGCCCCGAAAGGCTCCTCAGGCCATTTCCCCTTCTGCAGGCAAGCCTCTCCCCTGGTTTCCCCAGGCTGTACCCCAACTTTTTAAAAATGCCACCTAGACCCCAGCTCTGTCCACATCCATGACTTTTCTCCCGCCTGACAAACCAGCACAAAGTGTTCATCCATGTCCTCGGGTCACCCCTAACTTTGCACAACTACCACATCTTAGTCACCCCAAGTTTCTATATTTCCTTTTTTCTTTCTTTCTTTTTTCTTCTTTCTGTTTTCCAAGATCTTTGAGTCTTTCTTCTGTCGCCATGCCCCAGAGGAGCAGCCAAGAGTCCAATCAACCACTCTGCTTTGCGGTCCCTAATCTCCTTTCAATGAGCTGTTCCCCCCACCCCCCAGACTCCCCAGTTCTCTTCACTGCTTAGAATCAAACGGGTCTCTGGGGAGTGGGCTTTGGTGTGTGTGTAAGGGGGGGGGTTGCTGCTGACCAGGAGAAATCAAAGGCAATTGGAAGACTTCTCTCCCTGGCTGGGCAGAGCCGCTCTGGACTAGGGATCAAAGGCCGAGTATTTGGAGGGAGTTTTGGGAGCCTGGGGCCAAGGGAAGAGGAAAGCTCGGGGCAGAAAAATCTCGGGGACAAAGTGTACTGGGGAGGAGGAGGGGAGAGAAAGGTGTAAAGAGGAAATTGCTCATTCTTGTGTGCTTTCCAAGCCCTAATCCTCCCTTAGCTTTATGGATTCTTTTACCTCCAGCCGCTCTCACCTCCCATTTTCCCGATGGGAAGGCTGAGGCTTAGAAACGTTCAGTTTATCCAAAACTCTCCAGAAGGTGGTGGAAGACATACATCAGAGGAGGGGAGAGGTAGTGACAGAAAGGCAAATGGAAGTGGGACAGAGAGCTGGGGAGAAAGAGGTGAGCGAGGCTTGTGAACGGCCGCGTCAAAGGGATGGTGGAGGCTGGAGGAAGAGAGAGTGAGGCCATGCCCGGCCCCGAGTGTGGAGGACACTGTTGTAAATTGGAGACAGGAAAACGCCATCCATTCTTGAACAATGGAGGGTGGAGACCACAGCCTCGATTCTCCCCCTTCCCAGCACTCCAGGCATCCTGTCCCAAAGTGCTGGGCGGCTGCTTCACCCACAGGGAACCCTGGGCCTCACGGTGGGCCCCCTAGGTTTTTTTCCTGCACCAAATCCCCCAGTGCACCGGTCCCTAGGAAGAGGCTGCCACACCCACGGCGGGGGTGGGGGGTGGGGGGGGCTTAGCTTCTCCCCTGCCACCCCCGAGGGGTAGGGGTGGAGGAGCGGACTCCAGGTGTGCAGTTGGGTCCCTTACCAGCCTCCTCCCAAGCAGGTCTCTGCCTCCTGCCCCTCCCCATGGTGCCCTGGCCTCGAGGGGGGGGGCCTCTGCCACTGCCAAGGGGCATTCCTGCAATTTTTCCTAATCCCTTTCTGCCAGAATCCTGGTCCCCCCTCCCCCTTCTTCCCCCTCTTCTCTCTCCCCCCCCCACCCCCCCAGATGCTAGAGCCCAGCCAGGTGTGTTCACACTTCCCCTATGCCTTCTCCGAAAATCTCTTCCCCGGTTCCTCCTCATAACCGAATCCAGATGTGGGGCCTCTCTGCTGGGGCAGGGCGGGAACCCCAGAGTCCTGGTCCCGGCCTCCAGCATTTCCTCCTTGCAGGCTGGCAGTGCCCCAGGGGGAGGGGCTGTGCCTCAGGTGCCCGTCGTCTCTCTGGTGGGAAGGACGGGAACCTTTGGTGTGAAAAGGGGTGGCAACCAGGAGGAGGAGGAGGAGTGGGGGTGGGGCAGCAGAGTGGAGGGCTGCGAGGAAGGGGACAGCCCGGGCGGCGGGAATGCTCTCTGCCCCAGGGGCGGTTGAGGTAAGGATGGGGCTCTTTTCTCCCCAATTTGCTTCCCTCCCTTCTTCCCTCCCTCCCTTCTTCCCCTCCTCCTCCAGGGCCCAGCCTCTCTGGAAGGCCCAGGTCTGGGCGACCTGAGGCAGTCCAGTACCTGCCAGCTGTTGAAGGTGGGGCTGGCACTCCAAACAAGAGGCCTGCTGGAGAGGGGGTGCCGAGGGCAGGGCTCCCCCTCCCCCCCTCCAGTCCCCTGACTCCAGCTCGCAGCCGCGGAGCTGGGCCTGCAGGGAAGGTTGAGGCTCACTCACCTCTTTGTCTCTTAGAAACTCTGCTGAACACAAAACTGGAAACTGCAGATCTGAAGTGGGCGACATTCCCTCAGGTGGAAGGGCAGGTAAGAGCTGGGGGGCTGCTGTGTCTCTGGATGGGGTGTCCTGAGCACCTGGTATCCCCAAACCGCTCCTCAGACTTCCTCCCCTCCCCTCCCTTCCTTTCTTCCTTTCTTCCTCTCTCTCTCTCTCTCTCTCTTTCTCTCCCTCTCTCCCTCCCTCCCTCCCTCCTTTCCTTCCTTTCTCCCTCGCTTCCTTCCTTTCATTTGTACCAGTACTGGGGCTTGAACTCAGGAATTGGGTGTTCTCTCTTAGCCTTTTGACTTTCGATTGGTGCTCTACCACTTGAACCACAGCTCCACTTCTCTTTTCCTTTTTTGGGGGGGGGTCTAGTCATGGGGCCTGAACTCTGGGCCTGGGCGCTGTCCCTCAGCTCTTCAGCCAAGGCTAGTGCTCTACCACTTGAGCCACAGTGTCACTTCTGGCTTTTTTTCTTTTTGCTTATGTGGTGCTGAGGAATCGAACCCAGGGCCTCAGGCATGAAAGGCAAGCGCTCTACCACTGAGCCACGTTCCCAGCCCTCCTTTTTTTTTGCCAGTCCTGGGCTTGTACTCAGGGCCTGGACATTGTTCATGAGCCACTCTGTGCTCAAGGTTAGCATTCTACTACTTGCACCACTTCTGGCTTTCTCTGTTTATATGGTACTGAGGGATTGAACCCAGGGCCTCGTGGATGCTAGGCAAGCGCTCTACCATCAAGCCACCTTCCCAGCCCACAGCTCCACTTTCTGCTGCTTAATTAGAGATAAGAGGCTCATGGACTTTTCTACCAGGGTAGACTTTGAACATCGATTCTCTGATCTCAGCCAGGGAGACAGACCTGAGAGTCACAGAACCTGTCTGACTCTGCCCCCCTCTCTCGGTGCAGTGGGAAGAGCTGAGCGGCCTGGACGAGGAGCAGCACAGTGTGCGCACGTACGAGGTGTGTGACATGCAGCGCGCCCCTGGCCAGGCGCACTGGCTGCGCACGGGCTGGGTACCCCGGCGCGGTGCCGTGCATGTCTACGCCACGCTGCGCTTCACCATGCTTGAGTGCCTGTCCCTGCCCCGGGCCGGTCGGTCCTGCAAGGAGACCTTCACCGTCTTCTACTACGAGAGTGAGGCAGACACGGCCACAGCACACACGCCAGCCTGGATGGAGAACCCCTACATCAAGGTACCCAGCACCCATCAGGGACGCGCTCCGGGGTGGGTGCCTTCTCTTCCAGCTCCACCTCCCAGATGCTGCCCGGGTAGCCCTGGCTGATTCCACTTTTCGGAGTCCTCATTTTTCTCTGTCTTCCTGTCTCCCTCTGGCTGATACCTTTCTTTTTTTGGTTCCAGTCCTAGGGCTTGAACTCAGGGCCTGGGCACTGTTTGTGAGCTTTTTGCTCAAGGCTGGTGCTCTAGCACTCTAAACCACAGCTCCACTTCTGTGTTTTTTTGTTGTTGTTGTTGTTTTTTAATTTTTTTATTTGGTGCTCACATGGAGATAAGAGTCACCAACTTTCCTGCTCGGATAATTTCCAACTTCAGCCCTCCGATCTCAGCCTCCTGCATAGTTGGGATTACAGGCATGAGCTACAGCACTTGTCTTGCTTGTTTGTCACATCTTTGTTTGTTTGTTTGTTTTGTTGTTTTTTGGGTCCGGTCATGGGGCTTGAACTCTGGGCCTGGGCGCTGTCCCTCAGCTCTTCAGCTCAAGGCTAGCGCTCTACCACTTGAGCCACAGCGCCACTTCTGGCTCTTTTCTTTTTGCTTCTGTGGTGCTGAGGAATCGAACCCAGGGTCTCAGCGATCTTCCCAGCCCCGCATCTTTGTGACTCTGTGACTCATCCCTCTCTTTCTCCTTCGCTCTGGGAAGAGGATCTGGCATTTTCTGGGTGTAGAGAAGAGCAGGGGGCTGGGAGGGGACCAGAATGAAGGCTGGATCATGTACTGGAGGTGCTCAGTAAGGATTAATTGGACAGCTTTGGTGGTTGCAGGAAAGTTATTGGGGGTAAAATGCAGTGGAAAGTTCTGGAACAAATGAAGGGAGCCTGTAGAGGGGGGAGTTGGGACAAAGAAAATCCACTGCTCCTGAGAGAAGCGGACAGGGCCGGTGAGTCGTCCTCTCCCCGTCTCCTGCCAGGTGGACACAGTGGCTGCTGAGCACCTGACTCGGAAGCGCCCAGGGGCCGAGGCCACAGGCAAGGTGAACGTGAAGACGCTGCGGCTGGGGCCGCTCAGCAAGGCGGGCTTCTACCTGGCCTTCCAGGACCAGGGCGCCTGCATGGCGCTGCTGTCCCTCCACCTCTTCTACAAGAAGTGCTCCGAGAAGACCATGAACCTCACCCGCTTCCCAGAAACCGTGCCCCGCGAGCTGGTGGTGCCCGTGGCGGGTAGCTGTGTGGCCAATGCGCTCCCCGCACCCGGCCCCAGCCCCAGCCTCTACTGCCGGGAAGATGGCCAGTGGGCAGAGCAGCCCGTCACCGGCTGCTGGTGTGTGCCTGGGTTCGAGGCCACGGAAGGGAACAAAAAATGCAGAGGTGAGGGCTTAATTTCTTTTCCTTTGGTTTCGTGCCGGTGGTGGGACTCGAACTCAGGGCCTGAGGTTTTTCTATCAAAACTGGTGCTCTCCCATTACAGCCACAGCTCCACTTCTTGCTTTTTAGTGGTTAGTTGAAGATGAGTCTTCCAGACTTTCCTGCTTGGGCTGGCTTTGAACTGTGATCCTCACATCTCAGCCTCCTGAGTGGCTAGGATGACAGGCGTGAGCCACCCGTGCCTGGCTTCATTATGACTTTAATACTATCAGAGTGGATGAGATTTGCCACTGTATTTTGTGTGTGTGGTGTGTATGTGTATGTGTGTGGGGGGGTGTATTTCTTTTTTATTGCTATTATAAAGGTGATATACAGAGGGAGTCACAGTTATGGAAGTCAGGTAAAGAGTACATTTCTTTTTGGACAATGTCACCCTTACCTTGCTCTCTCCCAGTTTTTCCCTCCCATCCCCACCTACAAGTTATATAGTTCATTTTCAACAGTGTCCAGTGCGTACCACTGCTGCGTTGGTTCACTCTGTCCCTCATTTCTGTGCCTCTTACTTACCCTCCCAGAGACAGATAAACACACAAGATAGAAAAAAAAAACCAGCAAAGAAGAAGGAAAAAAAACCTCATTTCCGTGTGTGTGTGTGTGTGTGTGTGTGTGTATACTTTTTTTTTTTTGTCGTGGAGATTGAACTCTGGGCCTGGGCGCTGTCCCTCAGCTCTTCATTTCAAAGTGAGCACTCTATCTACTTGAGCCACAGCACCACTTCTGCTTTTCTGAGTGGTTTATTGGAAGTAAGAGTCTCACAGACTGGCTTTGAACCATGATCCTCAGATCTCAGCCTCCTGAGTAGCTAGAATTACAGGCATGAGCCACTGGCACCCTGCTTGTATATTTTTGTTGTTGCCTTCTGAATTCATGTGGTTTTGAATTGTTCCAGACAGGGTCTCACCACGTAGCCCAAGCTGGCTTCTCAGCCTCTGGAATGCTGGGACTATAGGAGTGTACCACTCTGCCCAGCTTGTATCTGCCCCTGTTTACAGGGACACACATGGTGCTATATTATCAATGTATAGATTTCTTTTTAACACTTACAATTGTGTTGATATTTATTTGATTTTGTTGGGAAGCCTACATACTTTGTGGTATACATTTAAAATTATTATTCTAATCAGAAGTCTGGGTGCTTCCTTAGACTATGAAAGTCAGATAGAAAATACCCCTGGGGTGCTGGTGGCTCATGTCTGTAGCTACTGAGATCTGAGGATTGCGGTTCAAAGCCAGTCCAGTCAGGGAAGTCCATGAGACTCTCATCTCTAATAAAAAACCACCAGAAAACCAGAAGTGGTGTTGTGGCTTAAGTGGTAGAGCGCTCTCTTTGAGCTGAAGAGCTCAGGGACAGCACCCAGGCCCAGAATTCAAGTCCCACGACCGACAAAAAGAAAAAATACCTTCCATGGTTAAAGGGTCTGTCCTCTCTCCCCCACCCCCCCTTAGTTTTTGTTTTTCAATATTGAGATTTGGACCCAGAGCCTGTTATTGGTTGGCTTGCTAGGCAGGCAGGCACTCTACCATTTAAGTAACATTTGTAGCTCAACTTGTTGCTGTTTAATTTGGAAACAGAATTTCAAAGACTTCTGTTCTGGGCTGTGAATCCTCAGATTGACCTTCTGAGTAGCTAGGATTACAGGTGTGCGCCACTGGCACCAGCTGCCCACAGATGTTTCTCAGATCCTTCCATGCCATTTGAACTGTGATCCTCAGATCTCAGCCTCTGTTTCATCTTACCACTGCATGCAACCTGGATGGTGTGTGTGTGTGTGTGTGTGTGTGTGTGTGTGTGTGTGTGTGTGTGTGGACTGGGACTTGAACCCAGGGCCTCACAAATTCACTTGGGTTTTTCCACTCAAAGCTGGCTCTCTACCATTTGAGCCACAGCTCTACTTCTGGCCATTTTTGCTGGTTAATTGGAGTTAAGAGGCTGGAGGGTTTTTCTGCCAGGGCTGGCTTCATGGCTTTGATCTCAGATCCTCCGATCTCAGCCTCCTGAGTGGCTGAGGTTACAGGTGTGAGCTATGTCGTCCTGCCCAGCTTCTGTGGTTTGGGGTTTGGATGCCCGAGTGTGCGTGCACATTCTCACCCATCCTCTCCCTCAGCCTGTGGCCAGGGCACCTTCAAGCCCCAGTCAGGAGAGGGGTCCTGCCAGCCGTGCCCAGCCAACAGCCACACGAACACCATCGGATCGCCCTTCTGCCAGTGCCGGAATGGCTACTACCGGACCCGCGCCGACGAGCGCAGCGCCCCCTGCACCAGTGAGTGGCAGCGCCCAGAGCCTGGGAGCGGGGATTCCCGGGGTGGAGCCCGCACAGCCCTCACCCCTCCCGAGCCCCGCACCCTCGGGCTGACCCCCGCTTCCCGCAGCCCCGCCCTCGGCGCCCCGGAGCGTGGTCCCGCACCTGAACGGCTCCCACCTGCGCCTGGAGTGGAGCGCGCCCCTGGAGTCAGGGGGCCGCGACGACCTCACCTACGCCCTGCGCTGCCACGAGTGCCGCCCTGGGGGCTCCTGCCTGCCCTGCGGGGGCGACCTAACCTTCGACCCCGGCCCCCGGAACCTCCAGGAGCCCTGGGTGGCAGTTCGAGGGCTGCGCCCCGATTTCACCTACACCTTCGAGGTCTCCGCCGTGAACGGCGTGTCTTCCTTAGCCTCAGGGCCTGTGCCATTTGAGGCCGTCAATGTCACCACGGACCGCGAGGGTGAGGCTGGGGGTGGGGGTGAGGGGGGGCTGGGGATGAGGCTGGGGGTGTCCTTAGAAGGAGCAGTGGACGAGTTCTGCGGCTGGTTCTGGGGCGGGGCTCGTGTAATCCTGGCCTTGGCCCCACCCCTGAGGGTGTGGCTAAGGCATCGGGGGCGTGGCCAAGGTGGCGGGGGCGTGGCTCCGGTGATAGGACATTGGCTTGCTCCAACAGTAGGGGCGTGGCCCAAATAGCTGCCTAGCAAAGCCCAAGTTACTGAGTTCAGTCCTCGATCCACCAAGAGGTAGGGGGTGTTAGGTAAATTCAATAGGTTGAATTAGGTAGCTGATACAGAGAACACCACGTGAAGAGAAGTTTATTGTATTGCCGAGCTGCTCCCCTCCCCCCTGGTGGAGAAGTGCATGGTCGTGCGGCTGGGGGCTGGGGGGCTGTCTTGCCCAGCCTTAACGAGGGAAGAGGTTGGGAGAAGGTGTGGTCAAGTAAAGGAAGGCTTGGCACCACCAGGTGCAAATGTGGCCTCAGTGCCTGGGACCCTCCCAGGGTGGGATGAGAGGTGTGGGGGGGAGGAGGCGTCCAGGATGTGACAGAGGAGGGGAAGGTGACTACCGTTTAGCTAGGTGACACAGGTCTTGGGCAGAGACTTAGCCAAGAGAAGGGAGGAGTCTGCCTCACTTTCCCAGAGTGAACTTTACAAAGGGAGCAAATAAAAGAGCCTCTGGAAGCTGGGTGGGGGCCGGCAGTGGCTCACCCCTGTAATGCTAGCTACTCAGGAGGCTGAGATCTGAGGATCACAGTTCACAGCCAGCCAGGGGCAGGAAACTCCATGAGACTCTTATCTCCAATAAACCACTCGGAAACCGGAAGTGGCGCTGTGGCTCAAGCGGTAGAGTGCTCGCCTTGAGCTGAAGAGCTGAGGGACAGTGCCCAGGCTCAGAGTTCAAGCACCATGACCGACAAAAAAAAAAAAAAGGAGCCTCTGGTCTGGATAGACTGAGAATTTGAAAGAAAAAGGCCAGCACTGGGAAGTGGAGTCCATCCACAGAAAGAGTGGAGGGCCAAGAAACAAACATAAGTGTGTTGGTTAAAGGACATGATGGCCCAGGGGCAGAGTCCCAAGATGTTGGGCCACAGATGATTCATGCCTATCATCCTAGCTACTGAGGAGGCTGTGATATGGAGGATCACAGTTCAAAGCTAGCCCAGGCAGAAAAGTCTGTGATACTCCATCTCACAGCTCAAGTGGTCAAGCTCCAGGAGCAAGTAGAAGGCCCTGATTTCAAGCCTTGGTCCAACCAAAAAATAAAAGAGTTGGGGAAAGTAAAGACTAAGACAGAGCGGCAAGTCCCTGCATGTCTTTGTCTTTCTTTTTTTTTGGGGGGGGGGTTCAGTCGTGGGCCTGGGCACTGTCCCTCAG